AATTCATATAATACTAAATTAACATATTGTAATAGGAGTTGAGACTTGATTTACTCAATCATGCTACCATCAGACTTGAACTTGCAGTACATACTTAAGTAAAATTCTAGCCCATGGGATTGTTTGTTTGTTGTTTACATTTTTCTCTTCCAAAAAGAGAGTCTTGCTTGCTTTAGGGATGCTTGATTGAGCTCTACAGGAAAATACTACTGACTCATCTAATGGAAGCTGATTGCTTTGCCTTGATTGAATCTGGTCACTTTTTCAAGGTAATTGTTCTGATGAAACAGCAATGCAAATCACATACCCAGGAGACAGTGGTGTACTTACCAGGAGTCATCAAAGGACTTCTTGAGCAGTGATGAGGTTGCTCCATGATGAGACCTTTTGTTGCTCTGTAAATATGCCCCTTATTGGTCTGGAACAGAGTACCAATTCTGATATTATATAGAAGGTATATAGAAAGGATGAGAGAGAGATGGGCAGAGAAACAGAAAAAAATACTATAGAGTAGGGCTGTGTGAAATTTCGCCACCTGTTTCAAGTTGAAACTGTTTTGACTCATTTTGAGCTCAAAACAGTGAAATCAAATTGAAACAAAGGGCTTTGAAACAGCCTTGAAACAAAACAAGGCTAGTTGAAACGTTTTGAAAGTTTTGTTTCCCCAGCCCAATGGTCGCGCTGGGGAAACAAATTCAGCTCAGCCAGGCTGAGTTTGTTTCCCCACCCCGATAGTCGAGTGAAACGTAAAAACAGCCTCACTGTTTCGATGAAGCAAAATGGAACAGCTGTTTCAACTCGAAATGAAATTCAAAACAAAACACTGCTCCGTCCAAACCTCAAAACTGAAGTCAAAACAGAACAGTGCCATTTTGCACAGCCCTGCTATAGAGCAATATTTCTCAGCCAGACTGCTGCAGCACCCTCAGTGACACAAGATCCATTTAAGAGTGCCTTTACATGAGGATCCTTTATGTGAGGAGGTAAGTGCTTTTCTGTCCCTGTCTCGTGCCCCGCATCCACCCTAGCTATACCAGCAGTGCCCACCGCTACTCTTCTGGGCACTGTCACCACTGATGCCCTCCTCGGCTCCCCCACTTTCAGGGCCAGCAAGAGGAGTACCAGTAGTAAATGACTGTTAACCAGTGTATGAGATCCTGGAGGAGCAGCCTTTGTGGCAGGGGCCACCATTGCCCCTCCAGGTCCAGACTAGTGGTGGAGGGCATTGTTGGAGAGAGCAGGGCATGGCAGGGTGAAGTCTTGCCCCAGCTGCCCTCACTAGGCACCAGATAGATCAATGGTTCTCAACCTTTTTTAGTGTCGAGGCACCCCTCTAACTTTTTGAAAATGTAAATGAAACTCAGTGATTCTTAAGTGGGGCCCTGCTAAAATTAGAAAAGATATGGAAAGGTGTCTTGACACTTGAAAGTTGAGAACCACTGGTATAGGAGGGTCATTATTATGGTATTAATATAGGATCAATAAGATGGCACAAATGAAAAAGAAGAACATAGTCTGTAAATTAATTCCATTTGGAACTTGGAAAATTTCAGTCAGATGCTATGCATTTACCCTACAGCCAAAGCCAAACTTCTACAAGAGATACTTTCTCTGTCATACTTCTGGCCTGGTTGGAGTGGTGCTGTGTGAAGGAGATGCTTATTTCTCAGAACTGGGTAGCTTTTGTGAGTGCTTCCAAGAAGCACCAAAACCTTTTGGATCGTAACTAAAGTGAACCTTTCATTTAATTTTAAAATTCACCTACTGCACACAATTTCAGCCTTTTCTTCAATTCCTTCTGTCCTGGAGGGATAATTTATGAGTTAAATTATTAACCTGACTCCAGCACCTAGTCTGAGTTATGAACAAAAATGGTCTTTTTCAGAGGACCTAGAATCAAAACACAGTAGATGTATAATGACAGACAGCTGACACAGGGAGTATAAAAAAGCAACAAAAGGAAGTATTGGTCAATGGTCAGCCTGATGGGCAGTAGCTTGATACAATAGAGGCCTAATTATTGTCAAGTTTCTTGTTTAAATATACAAGGGCCAGTTAGAAATTAAGACATTCTTTTTTTTTCTTTCCTCAACCAATTATTGGTAAGAAAATAATCAACTTACACAGAAAATGTGTACATCATTACTGAACACACAGCTGTTTTTCAGCATAGTCTTCTTTTCTGTCCAAGGTCCTTTTCCACTGATGAATAAAGGCCTGTATCCCAACACTGTCAGTCGGAAAATAATGCCCCCAGTATTTTTATAGCCTACCTAAGCAAGCCATGGACATGAAGGGTCTTCTTGTTGACGTCTTGCCTAAGGGGGCCACAGTAAACTTAGAGGCCTATGTCAAGATCCTGAAGAAACTAAAACATCATGCCAAAACCCCATCCCAAGTCATATATCTGAGGTGCTGCTTCTGCACAGCAATGTTCATCTACATACCACAGAGGAAATCTGATTATTTGGATGGACTGTGCTCCCCATTTGTCCAAGAGGATGAAAGAGGGACTATGAGGGTAACATTTTTGGGATGACAGTGAAGTGATGGAGGCATCAATGGCTGAACAACAAGGACAAGTTTGGCTTACATGCCCTTGCTCACCAGTGGAAAGAGGACACTGAGGAGAAGATTATGTTGAATAATAGGCATGTGTTCAGCAAGGATGTACATATTTTCAGTTGAAGTTTAATATTTTGTTAGTATTTGGCTAAACAAAAACAACAGGAAGCATTACACAGATCCAAGAAAGAGGACCATGTATCCCATTACAAAAGAAAACAAAAATTCTTACAGTCCATGACAATATGACCATGGGGTAAAATTCCTTCCTGAAACCAAATGTGATTTTCAGGTACACTTTTGAACTGCTCCAGGTTACTTTAAACTCATTTAATCATCTTGTACATCTGTGTTTCAGGTTTAAATCACATTTAAACTGGGTGAAGTGTTACGTGTGTCCATATCAGGTGTATCAGAATCTCAGGTGTAGTCTGAGGGGAAAGAGCCAGGGTATCCTACCTTACCTTCAGTCTTGGGTTTGGATGAGCAAAAACTTCTTCTCTGGGGTAGCTTATTCTTAGGTCTCCATTCTAAGGCCTAACTCTCTAATTTTCTTTCTTTCCCAAGAACCCTGCCCACCTCATCCCAATCTGGAGTTAATGAACTGAATGTAACGTGCTGAGGAAGCAGGGATTTATCAGCCTTAAACATGATTACCACATTTTCCAAAGCAATAGCCAGGATGTGTTTATGTTTGATTTTGCCTGTGTGACCTTGGACAAGTAGCACAAATAATGCCGTGACTTGGTTTCTCCTCTGTAAAATGGGGATAATATCACTTCTTCATGTCATAAAGATATTCTGAAGTTAAAACTATCTGAGATTTGTGAAGCACTCAGCTAATATAATGAGTACTATGGAATAGCTAATGTAAACACATAAAGTATGAATGGGCTCATCAGTTTTGAAGGGAACCAGTGCATGTAAGTAATGCCTCAGGCTATAATTAATTTGTATGGTTTATGGGAGGGAGAGATTCCAGACCAGCAGAGTTCATTTTCCATAATACACCGACCAACCTAGAAAAATTCCCGCAATAGTTTTCACCTCATCCTTCCTCCTCCCTCAACAATTCATAGCCCCCAAATATAATCAATGTATCTCTTAGAGCAATGTGGCTTATGGAAGTGTGCAGAGAGGATGGCTAGTGTTTTGGAAACAGCTTAGCTAAGCGGGGGTGATCAGGGTACCATCCTGTGGCACAGATTTTGAAGCGTGCAAAAATGGTAGAGGCCATTGTCCACCCCTCCTCCACAGCCGTCTCCACTGGCCCAGCTGTCACTGCCACCCAAGGCACAGAAATTATTTGTTACATCTCTGTGTTGTAGTAGGCACTAGACTGGGACTCAGGAAAGTCAGGTCACTTGTAGCCCGATTTTTATAGATATTCAGCACTTACAACTCCTGGGAGCTGTAGGAATGTGCATGTCTCTGAAATTAGGTTATAGCTCTCTGTGCCTTAGTTCTATATTTATAAGAAGGTATTTTCCTGTGTCACAAGGGTATTGTAAGGACAAAGTCATTAGTGTTTGTGTTCAGTTACTATGAAAAGCCTTCAAATAAAATATACCCCACTTTTTAGCTTCTGCACTTCCTAATGGGAAGAGGAGCCTATAGAAAGATTTAATGGCTGAACACATTTGCATTTCATTCTACATTTATCTTTTCAAAGTGAGGCAATATACCAATATCTGGTATATTGATGGAGCATAAAATAGCTGATTGATAAGTTTATCACTTGTTTGTGAATAAAGTCATATTTTTTTATGTTCTTTCTGATCACAACAGACAACCAGGCCCAGATTTGTAAAGATATCTAGGCACCTAACTTCCATATTAAGTCAATGGGTCTTAGGCACTTAAATGTCTTTCAAAACCTAGCCCATTAGGACCACCTCCTATGCCTGTTTTATAGAACAAGGTAAGTTCAGTTTCAAATTGCTTGCCTTCAGAATAAAAATGCTTAAATAAATGCATTGAGAAAACTGGCATTTCCCCATTGCAACTGAAAGAGAAAACACGTTACTCTTCAGCTCAGACTGGAAAATTCCTGTCAAGCCCTCTTACCTGCCCTGACCGATACAGACTGTTTCAGAAGTATTGTAACATAAGTACTGCAAGCATATGACTAGAAACATAATAAAATTGTACTAGAGTGGCTGATACCTGGACTTTATAAATGATAAAGAGAATAAATAAGGAAATTATCCACCAGATTTTTAGGAGCCGAACTCCATCTTTAATAGTGTAACTATTTGCATATACAATTTTATCCCCACAAAAAAGGAAAGTTGATTAAGGTTGGGCTGAACATTTAGTCCAGCCAGAGTCAATAAGTTTTCACTCAAGAAAATTAAATTAAATATGCTGTTGGATATATAGGTAATTTTAACAGTACACTTACTAAGGAACATTCTTGCTCTTTTAAATTTTAGATTCCACAACTTATGCACATTTTCTGTTTAATGCATTTGACACTGATCACAATGGATCTGTGAGTTTTGAGGTAAGTACTACCATCAATTTCATCTATATGCCTTTGTTGCCTTGTTGGGCTTTTTAGATACAGAGCAGGTTTCAAGGTTTTCCAGGGCATTAGAAATAGTCATTATTATTTTAGAACTCCAGACATTAACTCAAGCTGTGCTGGTGATGTCATTTTTCAAAATAAATACGATCATTTAAGAGGCTAGCTAAAATATACGTAAATTACATGAAAGATGGTGCTTTGTGTGTCCTGTGAGGTAACTAGGACTCTCAACTCCAAATGTCAGCTAAATAAAGATTACTTGCTTGTGCACTTAGTTTCTTTACATCAGGGGAAGATGGCTTCAAGACAAACATAGTTTGAAACACAGGGTTTAAGTTCTTCTCCTTACATGCTGGTTTCATAATTTTGCACTTTACCTGCTACAGTTGATGGAATCAAGAACAGTATGGGAAAGACCGAAATTCCCTGCTGTACTTTATGTGGCTGAAGTGCATAAATACATTCACCCTACACTTCACAAAGCTTTGTTAGGCCTATTCACTTTCTGCTGGGAACGTGAGGCTTTACCCCAAGATTTCAAAGATGCCCAAATCATAACAATCTACAAGCACAAAGGAGACAGATCTCACTACAGCAATTATCATGGCATTTCGCTCCTTTCCATTGCTGGTAACATCCTTGGTAAACTGTTGTTGAAAAGGCTCCAAGTTATTGCAGATGATGTACTCCCTGAATCCCAGTGTGGTTTTTCAATCATCACACAGCACTGCTGACATGATATTTACCTTAAACCAGTTACAGGAAAAAACTGCTGAACAAGAAATATCCCAGTACGTTGCATTTTCTGACTCTAGTAAGGCATTCAACTATGTTGCACTCTCTGCTTTCTGGTGCCTTCTTGCAAATTTTGGCTGCCCAGACAAACTAATTAACCTCATATGTTGCTTCCATGACAACATGCCGGCCCATGTATCAGTGGGTGCTGACCCATCTGACACCTTTCCTGTAGCCCATGGTGTTAAACAGGGCTGTGGGCTTGCCCCTACATTATTTACTCTGTTCTTGTCTGGAGTGCTAGAAATCGCCACACTTACTACCATTATTGGTGTCACCCAAGCAACACAATTTGATGGCAGACTTCTAAACATCCACTGATTCAAGGCCAAAAATAAATCCTGACAATGTCCCATCAACTGAATGCTGATGACTCAGTATTTGTTGCCCTTTCTGAGAATGACCTGCACCATTTACTGACTTCCTTTGCCCATGCTGTATCCCTTTTTGGCCATAGTAATAATATAAAGAAAACTGTACCAACCACCTTCTGGCAGAAACCTATTACCTTCATTACCACCAGAAATAAAATTGAATAGCAACCAATTAAACAATGTCAAGTCCTTTTGCTACCTAGGTAGCATAGTTACTGATGATACCAGCATTGACAAAGAACCTTCAGCACACTTAAAGTCAGTTTCTTCAGCTTTCAGTTGCCTACAATAAAGTCTATGGACAAGATGTGGGGGCGGGGGGGGGTCAAAGTGTCTACAAAATGCCAAGTTTAGAAAGCTCTTGTGCTCCCTTGCCTCCAATACTCGTTACAGACCTGCCCCCATTTACTGTCACCATATGAAAAAACTTAACTGCCTGCAACAACATAACCTATGCAGCATAATGGGAATTAAATGGTCAGACAAAATCCCAGCAACTAAGTACTATGACTTACAGCCATGCCAAGCATGGAAGCCATGCTACCATCGAGGCAAATGACCTGGGTCAGCCACGTCATACGTATAGACAACAATTCATCGGCTAAGAGTTCTGCAAAGTGAATTTGAAAAAGGCAGTTGGAACTTTGGCCATCCTAAACTTTGCTACAAGGACTGCATTAAGCAGCACATACAGTCTGCTTGGCTGGACTCAATGTCCTGGGAGGATAAGGCCCATGATAAATTAATAGATTCATAGATTGTTAGGGGCTGGAAGGACCTTGTAGATCATCAGGTCCAGTCCCTCTTTACTGGGCAGGAAAAGACAACTGGGGTCTTTTCAGTCTCCTTTTGAAGATTTCCAGTGACTGCACCACCACTGGAGGGAATTTATTCCACAGTCTGGACACCCTAACTGTGAGGGAGTTTTTCCTGGAATTGAGCCTGAAGTGGCCTTCCAGGAGTTTGTATCCATTATTCCTGGTCTTCCCCAGGGGTGTCCTGGTGAATAGCTGTTCACCTAGTTCCTGATGTATTCTCCTGACATAGTGGTAAGCCGCTACCAAGTCCCCTCTCAGCCTCCTTTTGTGTAAGCTGAAGAGGCCCAAGTCCCTCAGCCTCTCCTCGTATGGCTTGTCTTGCAAGTCCCTGATCATACAGGTGGCTCTTCTCTGGACACTCTCAAGTTTTTCCACATCCTTGTTGAAGTGCGGCACCCAGAACTGGATGCAATACTCTGGCTGTGGTAGGGTTTAGGATAGGTGAGCTCAGCACTCCACTATGAAGGAAACAGCAACAGAACATTATCATGCACCTTGGCCAACAGTAGAAGGGAATGTAGACACCAAGGTTAAGGACATTCAAAAAGCTGAAGCCTGAATTGATTCAATCTTTGCAGGTTAGTCTAACGTGCCTAGATTGGAGCAGTTTGCAACGGAACAGACATTCCCTCTGGACTGAAGAAATGCAGGCACATGCCTGCAGTCACTCAGGTCAGGAGCTGGGGGCACTAGAACACACCCTCAGCTGCAGAGAAGCAGTGCTGGGGGGATGTGGCCAGCCTGGACAGTAGCCTGGAGTGAAGTGGCTAGGGAGGGGGTATAATTCCCCTCTCTCTGTTCCACTGACTCAAGCTAAGGTCTGCCAGATGCTTCCCCCTCACTGCTGTAGCAGCAGGGGTGTGGCCAGAGGACAGCTGAAATGCCCCCCTGAGGCAAAGAGGGCAGGGAAGGGGGTTAGTTCCCCCCTTCTGCCCCTGGGCGATAGCAGCGGGGTCTGACCACCCCAACTGCTGCAGCACACTCCCTGTGCAGGGTGAGCCACAGAATGAGCCCCCTCCTGCCCCCTCCACCAGATGCCAAAGGTAGGAGGTAATAACTCACATCCCTGCCACCTCACCTAAGGAAGCCATGCAAGCCAGCATCTGGCCAGGCCTCACCCTGCTGCTGGAATGGTGAGGGGGGAACAACTGTGACAGGGACAGCAGCCTCAGTTATAGTGTCCTGGAGCATGAACCTCTTCCTGGCAGGGGGGCCATGCTGCTGACAGAGGTTTCACTGCATGGTGGGGAAAGCTGCTGTGGACTGTGTGGGGGAGTGGCCTCAGTAGCATTTGGGGGGGTTGGGTGTCTATGGCCCCCTCCAAGTCCCAGTGCCACCACTCATGCCGTGCAGTCCATGGCATCTCTGACCCCCGCTGGGAAGAAGCTCATGCTCCTCAGACACCATGGCAGGGGCTGCTGCCCCCATCAAGGGCCCTGCCCTCTCACTTCTCCAGCAGCAGGGTTTGGGGCCCAGCCAGAGGCCAGCCAGCAAGGACCTTTAGGCAAGGGGGCAGGGAGGGGAGTTACTCTCCCCTCCCTCTGGGGTCTGCTGGAGAGGGAAGGAGGTGGCTTATCCTGCTGCTTGCCCTGTGCAGGAAGCAAGCAGTGGCAGCAGTGGTTAGGGTGGGCAGACCCCACAGCAGAGGGGGGGTCCCCCAGAGGCAGAGGAAGGAATAACCCTCCTCCCTGCCCGCCCTGCCTAAGGGGCCATGCAAACCGGCCTCTGGCCATGTCCCCGCTGCTGCAGCAGTGAGCAGGGAGTGCCTGGTGAACCCTGGCTCAAGTCCCTGCCAGTGGGACAGGGCGGGGGGAATTAAACTCACTCCCCGGTCAGTTCACTCCAGGCTAGTGCCAGGGCTGGCCATTCCCCCACTGCTGGAGCAGCCAGCGGAGAAATGCAGGTCATGCTGGTAAGACAGGGAAGGGAGTGGGAGGAATGAACCTCTTCTCTGTTCCTGTTGGGGCCCATGTCTGTCCCCAACCCCCACCTGTCCCTTCTCTGGCTAGGGAGAGAGGGACGGGGCCAGCCCTGCTCTGCTAGGTAGAGAGCACAACTAAGAGAGCATGCTGGGATGCTGGGAGAGTCTGGTTTAACTTAAACCAGGGAGTGGTCTGGGACAGACATTGCAGAAACTAGCTGAAGCTCAATCAGTTAAGTCAGATACTACATTCAACCAGGTTTATCTCGAACTTGTTTTGGCCATTTTGCAACTGGTTTATGTGCGCTGAACTTATGTTCTGTTACTGGTTTAAACCAGTTTCTGATCACTTAAGCCAATTTATGTGTAATGGCTGTCCATAGCTCAACTTGCCCTGGCACATCCATCTCCTGAACCCTACACGTGGAACCTGATTTCCAGTATCAGTAGTAGTCATACTCAAATATGAATGAAAATCATTATTATTGTTGTTGTTGTTTCTTGTTAGTTTATGTGGCACTGATGTATGTGAACTACTGCCTGTATCTTTGGTGAGGGGAGTTAAAAAGTCTAGAATGCATGGGTTCTAAATTAATATGTTTCCTTTATATTACTTCTGTTATATACAGCTACTATTCTTTTCACAGCTAGATCATAAGTTTAAAAAAAAGCCAAAAGCAGGATTTTGTTCTGCTACTTATCTCTGCTATGTCTGCTTCTCTTCCAGAGGCCTAAAGAAGGGTACTGTGATACCTGAAAGCTTGTCTATGACTATACCAACCATGGAGTTGGTCCAATAAAAGATACCACCCACAAGATTTCTTAACAAAAGAAAAATATGGAATTTCTTACTTGTGCTACTTTGAAAGTAATTTCTGTGTGGAAAGACACAATTAGGAAAATGTGAAAGTATCTTTACCCTTCATTGTTGGGTGCATACATATCATCTAAATAATATGGGAGCAGGTGCCTTTGAGAGCAGGTGCCCTGCAACAGTCCTAACTCAACTATGGTAATGGCTGTATTTAAAAGAAAATACTAAAAAGATTTAGTTTGAGCTTTCAGTTT